GTCTCTGATGAACTCTCTCACCCCCCACACCTCTGGCCTGTACTCTAGTTCTTGTATGCACGAATAAATAAATCTTCAAAAAATAAATAAATAAAATAAACAATGAAGAGTGCTCAATGAGCTATGGTCCATTGGGTGTCATGGTGATGGGTGTGGTGTGGTAACATACAAATGTAGGATGTGATCCTAGACCTCTGAGTAACATACAGTGTTGTAAACCTATATTACCTCAATAAAAACAGATATCAGATTAAAAAATCAGTTCAGACTATACAAAAATAAAATAAGCACTGAATTTTGTTAATGGTGTGCATGCCGAAGGGTTGGGGTGCATATACTGACTTTGAAAATTCTGTTTTTTCTTTAAATAAAATTTTGTTGATTTACCAGTGGTTTACACCACCATAGAAAATTTAACAGCACAGCTTTACTTCTCAACATGTGCATAAGCCTCACTGCATCTGCCACCAAAGTTCTGGTGCCATTCCCACCACCAAGTTGACTCCTCCACCCTTTTTTTCCCATCTGCTTTTCCTCCCCCTGAGGTAATCACCATATTTTTCTCACAGTCTAAGAGTTATTTTTGTTGTGATTTATAGTTCATTTTGCAAATTACTTTGAAATGTGTCGAAAGTATGGTGACTGATGGATAATTTATCTGAACACACTGTTCATAAAATTTTGGGGTCTGAGGACACTGAGAATGAGGACTTACAGAAAGTGCAGAAAATCTTGTTGGAAACTAAAGGAAAGGGAATCTTATAGTGTAGTGGTAGACAGTTTAGCAATATAATTCTTTTATGTGGAAAATAGGAAATATGTCTAATGCTATGGGTAATCTAACTGAGGAGATTTCTAAATAGTGTTGAAAGTGTCACCTGATTTTTTCTTGTGGTTTATAGGGAAATGTAAAAGGAGGGGGATTAAATTGAGAAAACAGTCTAAGAAGTCAAGACCTCAGAAAGAACAAAGTGGTACATGAGAGTACTATTTAGTCACTCAAAGACTCTAAATAAAGTAAAGGTGTGGTCCACAGACCCCTCAAAAATGCTTTTAGGAAGCTGAAGAGGTATTGTGTCTCAGCGTCTCATCAGGGTCTATAGTAGGCAAAGATTTGGGTGTGACTTTTGTACAACGGATATGCACCAAATTCTTTAAAGATATGTTCAGAAACACCTCTGGGGTAAGAGCACTGAATAAAATGAGGAAAAGCCTTTGAATCCTCAGGAAAGCTAATATCAAGAAGCAGGCTGAAAGAGCTGCTCAGTTACAAACACATGCTACTTTCATTTAAAAAAAAAGAAAATGAAAAAGAAAGGCTGACTCAGAGGACAAAACAAAAAACACAAAAAGCAGAAGTGAAAACCATGGAAGAATCTTAAAACCTGGGCCTTAAGCTTAATCAAGAGATTCCCAACACTTTCAGAATGCTATGAGTTCTTTGTGCCTTCCATTTGAATAGAAATGTCTGCAGAGTTTATCCTATCCCTGTCCTACCATTCTGTGTTGAGCATGTAGGGGAAAGAGAAAACTTGTTTCTTTCGTTTCATTGGTTGAGACGAAATGTACTCGAAGAAGTATTTTAGGAAACCAAAGCTGAGGAACCTCAACTGCACCTATACTTGATTCAGGATGTGAAATTCTAAATTAATGGACACTGAGCTCATGCTATAATGGAGGAGACATTTGCAAGCCTTGGGAGGGGTGAAATTAATCTGCATATGGGGAGGATGTAGATTGCTGAGAGTTAGAAGGCAGAAGGTGGCAGCCAGATTCTAGGATAGCTACCACTGGTCACTGTCTCCTGGTGTTCACCCCTTCCACTTGATGCGGACTGGATTTACTGAATGTTTTTACCAGAATATGACAGAAGTGATGAGATGTCAATTCTGAGATTAGGTTGAGAAAACCCTGAGGTTTCTGTTAGACCTGCTCTTGCTGGTTCACTCTGGAATTACTTGGCCTGGGGGGAGGCCAGTCGCAATGTTTTAAGCTAATCCTCAGGAGAGGCTCACATGGAGAGGAACTGAGATCTTCCAAAAACTGCAGGAGCAAGCTGGAAGGAAGACTGGTCCCATATGAACCTCCTATCCCTAGTCCACAACTTCACAAGCACCTGAGGAGAGTTACAGAGCCACAGGGACCAAGCCATGTCTCTAAGATAACAGAACAGAAACAATGAGATAATAATTTTTTTTTTGCTTATTTTGAATGACTAACCAACCTCTTATGCACCAAGGAACAGAACTAAGGCACCCACATGGGAGGTGAGAAGGTAAATCAGACAGTGGACAGGAAGTAGTCTTGTTTTCTCTTAAAATAGTCCAGCATAATCCTGAAGATAAAGGTGAATAATCAGTAATCGATAAAGAAATGGTAAGGAAACATAACAGTAAAGAAAGGTGAGTAAGGAGGGAAGGGAAAAGTTCTCTTGCTGAAGACTGCTTTATGACCCAGGCAGACAAACAAAAGTTAGCTTAAGAAAAAAGAAGTCCAGTGTGGCCTTTGGGGGGGAGAGGATGGGTCATGGAACCACTGAGAGGCTACTGACATCATCGAGGCATAAGTGAAATGTCACGAAATCCCTCCTAAGGGATTATGTTCTGGGAACCATAATCACAGTCACTAGTGCTGGCTCTGAAATGACTGATGTTGAAGAGGGGAGAGGATGATGCAATCTTTAGGAGTAAGGAAATTCATCTTTTATTTTGGAAGCAATAACTGGAAAAAAAAGAACTGTTGGCACATCTTTCTACTCACATTATTAAGCATGCCAAGGATGGTTATTTAGATGTGAAATGGTTGCTAGAGATGATGTAGTTGCATGGATAAAAAAAATTTTATAATGTTATAAATATGCTATTTGAAATACTAGCAGGAAGGGAAGAATGGACTTAGTAATAGAAATGTGAGGCCCAGCTACTGCAAAGGAAGGAACACCATTTCTCTCAGCAGGTACTCTTCCCTGGTAATCATAAGGCCTAACTATAATACAGCTGGTAGCATAATGCTAGGTGATTTTTATTAAAACAAACAAACAAACAAACAAACAAACAGGGGCCTCCCCGGTGGCACAGCGGTTGAGCGCTGGGTTACGAAGCTGCCCGTGGCCTCTGCAGCGCCAGTTCGATCCCCGGCTGCTCCCCGGCCACTGGAGGAGGGTCCTACATGGCGCGCAGACCTCTCCTGCCGCCCGCTGCTTCCCTCAGCAGTGTGCTTCGGTCCTTCTGCCTGCTCTGCTCCCCGCTCTGGCTCTGGTGAATTCTCTCACCCTCCTGTGCTTCTGACTGTACCCAGTGCTTGTATAAATAAATAAATAAATAAATCTTTAAAAAAAACAAACAAACAAAAAACTTAAAGAACAGCAAAGAAGATTAGAAAAAAAATTTAAATAAAGCAGAAAGTAATTTTTTTCTTTTCCTTTTTTTGATCCAGGAAAAAATGTAATAACTATTAAAAGATAAATATCCTGTCACATCTGCCATACGACTCAAGTGTTTAACACTGTGCTAGGTACTGCAGTGAAGACAAAAGAAACTGGAGATTATGAATTAGTTGGAGATTCAAGTTTGTTGTGCATAACAACTGGAGGAAGATTCAAAAAAAGGATAATTTACCTTACTAGAAGGTTGTTTAGGTAAGATGAGGTTTAAATAGAGAAGAGCCATGAAGGCAAGAAAATAGGGAGCCCAAAGAGGAGAGAGAGGAACCCTGGGTAGTCAGGGGTGGCAGAGAGATTCCAACTCTGAATATCAAGGTGGAGCAGGCTTTTAAGGAGGGGGCTAAAGGAGAGATTCTGGCTCAATGGGGCCAAGAGACCTCTGCAAGCAGCAGTGTCAGGGAGCTGACAGCTTAGAAGCTAAGCTGGGGCACAAAAGGTTGAGATGAGAAGAGTGGTTTGAAAAGTGGGATGCTGGTATAGTCATCCATTCCTCCATTTCATAAATCAGTGTCCATTCATAAATCAGCGTCTCCATTTCATAAATCAGTGTACATTCTGGGAAAGCCTCTGTGCTAGGCTGTGGTGATGTACAGGTAGACTGCACTCCACAGGCACAGCCTGGCCCGGGGGTCAGGACCTCTATGTGCCCCTCCATGCGGCAGAGGAGCACAAGTTGATTTCTGTGTGAGCTCTCCAGCCAGGGAAATGAGGCTAGGTTTGGAGAAAGAGGTATGTGCATTTAGCCTGCCTAGCACTTGGATTCTTCAAAGCAATTTGTCAGTGACATAAATTAGAGCAAGAGAAAGATGGTTAAAAATGGGCAGTAAAACTTTAAGCTTTTGGAATGAATTGTTTTTCTTAGCAGAAAATAGCAATGACATATGACCAGCAAAGCACAGGAGGACTTGATGAATCCCATTTTCCCCAAGTTGAAAGAGGAAATACAGGAAAAAAGGAAGTGGAAGCAAACATAGCCTCAGGGTCTGGCACACAGCAGCCAAGGTGCCCTGAGTCTGGCATGTAGCTCTCTGAGCATCAGGCTCATTGAAAAATTAGGTAACTTAGAGAGTGCATGCGAGGACCATGTGAGTCACAGTGCCTTGCACAGTGCCAGTGGTGACTGACAAATTAATAACAATAAAAAATTCATACTATGGACCATAATGTTGGGTAGAAATGAGGTCTTGGCAGCCTGCTGGCAGCATGGCATAGCTCTGTAATCATGTGTTGGTTGTGTTGGTGTGGGGATAATACTGCATATTTTTATGCTATTTGTACCCAAAAGAATAAGACTAGATTTTTGGTGAAAATGTGGCATACAAATCTAAGATATCATTATTATAAAATACATTTATATTGTAAAAATATATTTACATTGTAAAAAAAGTTAGGGAGAAAAATAAACCTTGCTGGTTTATAGTTAATAAAACAGGGCCTTTTCCAAAGCAGAGAAGGTAAAATCTTCTCTTTAATTCAGCAGTAACTGATATTTGTCACAGGGAGTACTGTAGAGGGGTAAAAGAGGCTGATTTCAGACTCCAAAAGTCATGAATGTCACCTGTTTGGCTTTCTTTGACAGGACAGGAACTGGAGCTATCTCCTGTGGCATCATTTTGGCATCTTGTCCTCCTTCACCATCTGATGCTTCTAGGAAATATAAAGTTAAAAAATTAGGAAAGTGTTTCTGTTTGTCTCTTTCCCACTGCTCATGCAATCTTGGTACCAATTTGCTAGAAGGTTCTATCCCTTGACTTACTAGTTCTACCTTTAGGGAGCTGAATTTAAGGAAAGCATCCAAAATGAAAAGAGAGATAGCAGCACCAAGATGGCCATCATTTATAAAAATGTAAAACTGAAGATTACTGTCATAACTAACTTTAGAGAATAATTATGGAACACTCATACTCATTTTACAGATTAATTAAACTCATTTTTATATAAGAAAGTTGAGGTTTATAGGAGTGAAGCCATTTGCCTCAGACCTTCCACCTGGAAACTCAGATTTGTTTGAGTCCAAGGTCTTTCCCATAGTGATAGGACTTGCTCTGAGAACCAGCCAGCCCTTCATACCAGGTGCTGACCCCAGGGGAATGTTAGAAGATTGTGATAGAGGGATTATATATAATAAGAAATTATTTTGAAGTTCTTAAATCTTTCAACAATTGAAAGAAAGGAATTCTTTATCAGGGAAAAGAAAAATCTTAATAGTTTTTGTTTCTAAAGATCTCTTGAAGAAATATGGTAAACAACTATGGTCAGAATTCACATTTAGATTCAAATTAACCTGTCTCACATCTCATACAAAATTAACTCAAAGTAGATCAGAGGATTAATTATAAAACTGTATAAACTTTAGGAATAAAGAGGGAAAAAGCTTTAGTATTTAGACATAGAGTTCTTACTTTGATACCAAAAATAAAATAAAAAAGAAAATTTAATAAATTGGACTTTATTAAAATTGAAAATCTTTCCTTTGCATAGGCCCTATTAAGAGAAAGCGACAGAATGGGAGAAATATTTGCAAACCACATATCTAACCAAGGACTGACTAGTGGTATAGACAATATAAGGAATTCTTAAAATTCAAGACAAAAATAAAATTGTATTAGAAAGTGGGAAAAGACATGAGCAAACATTTCCCTGAAAAAGAATCTATTAATGGCAAACAAATATACAGAAATATTTTCCACATTATTAACTATTAGGAAAATGCAAATTAAAACTACAATGAGATAGCACTATAAGCTTATACCAACATCTATCATTAAATAATGCACCAATACCACATGCTGGTAAGGATTCAGCAGAAAGCAAAACAAGCCACCCCCAAAATGTGCTACTGGGCATATTTTCATATTTAGTTCATAAAATTGAATTAAAGTTACTTAGGGAACACTAATCCTTCTCTGTGCCTTGGAAGCAGAAAATAAAATCTCCCATGTGAAAAATACCTTCCCTGTACCGGGAGGTAGAAAGATGTCCTTATCACCATAGAAAGGGAACTTAGGGGCAGGAAGACTGTATAAACAAACCTTGCTACCCAATGTGTATCCCAAGCCAAACATTGTTTTGTCAATTCTTCACAAATACATTGTTTGTCTAGAAGGCATAAAAGATGCCTGTTTTGGTCACTTCTTTGAATCTTATATGAAATAAATTGTTGCTCTCCTATTAATCTATCCTCTGTCAGATTAATTAATGGACAAGTCAAAGAACCTATAAGAAAGGAAAATTTTGTCTTTCTCTACAGAGAAACGGGATCACTCATGCACTGCTAGTGGTAATGTAAAATGATAGTCATTTCCTTTCCACAAATGGAAAATAGTTAGGCAATGTCTTAAAAACACAAACATGTAACTATTATACAACTAAGCAATTGCACTCTTAAGAATTTTTCCCAGAGAAATGATATATTTAATAAAACAAACTTCACCTGAAGGGTGACAGCAAGAAATCTTGAAACAACCCAAATGTCCTTCAATAGGTGAATGGTTAAACACATTGTGGTTTAACCAAATCATGGGATACTAATCAGGAAAAAAAAAAAAAAAAAAAAAAAAAGGAACTACCCTTGCAGGCATCAGTCTAGATGAATCACTAGAGCACCAAGTGAAAAATTCAATCCAGAGGGGGCCTCCCCGGTGGCGCAGTGGTTGAGCGCTGAGTTGCGAAGCTGCCCGCAGCCTCTGCAGTGCCAGTTCGATCCCCGGCTGTTCCCCGGCCACCGGAGGAGGGTCTCACATGGTGCGCAGACCTCCCCTGCCGCCCGCTGCTCCCCTCAGCAGTGTACTTTGGTCCTTCTACCTGCTCTGTTCCCTGCTCTGGCTCTGGTGAGTTCTCTCACCCTCCCGCGCTTCTGACTGTACCCAGTGCTTGAATAAATAAAATAAATAAATAAATCTTTAAAAAAAAAATTTAATCCTGAAAGGTGATTGTGTGATTCCATTTATGTTCATTTTTGAAATCACAAAACTACAGAAATGGAAAACAGAATAGTTAAGGATGTGGTGGGCTGGAAAGGAAGTGGGTCTGACTACAAAGGAGCAACAAGAAGGGTCCTTGTGGGGATGGAAATGTTCTATGCCTTAAATGTACCACTGTGAATAAACTTGTCTGATGTTATCCTATAGTTTGGCAAATTGTTACCATTGGGGGAATCAATGAAGGGTACATGCCATCTCTCCCTACTGTTTTCCTACAATTGCATGTGAATCTGCAATAATTTCAAAATTAAAAAAAAGTTTAATAAAAAAAGAGTCTTGAAAGGAAATCCATCCTCTTCTTCAGGAAGCCCAAAATCATTATGCTCAAAAAGTTAAGTGTGTGTGTGGTTGACTGTGGACTAGTCTAGAACATCATCCTGCTACTGGGGCACTTCTTCATTGTTGTTCTGACTGGGAGAACTAGGAGGGTGGTGAGGGTCAGAGAACCACAGTTAACACAGAGAGCCCTTGATGGTCTTCAAAAAGAAAAGCTCTGAGAGTAGGGTGGCCACATAAAATGCAGGATGCTCCATTACTTGAACTTTCAGATAAACACTGAAAGCATTTTTAGTATAGGTACATCCCAAATATTGCACAGCATACTAAAAATTACTATTTATATTAAATTCAAATTTAATGGGGTGTCATGTATTTTTATTTGCTAAATCTGGCAATTTCACCTGGGGGACTTTCTTCCCCAGAAAAGGCCATATTCAATTTTCTTATATTGGCTTCTATCCATGGGATCTACTTTCTCTTAACCATTCTCCAACCTATCTTCCTTTGGATCTTTCTAGGAAACTTAAGCTGACCACACAGCCCTCCTTCTTCCTATTGTCTCTGTACTTCTCCACTTACTGTACCTTGTAAATTAATACATAATTTATCCTTTCTCACAGAGTGTGATGACATTGCATATGTGCTAGGCTTCCTCGCCACTGTGACTGTAAACACTCTGCAGGCATCCATGAAAATCCTAAATACTTGCTTACAGTTGACTGGAAGTAAAAAGCATCCCCATATTTATTTTATTTATATTTTTATTATAAAAGTAATATATATTTCCTCACACTGACCTACACTATTATTAGCTTTAAAAATCACTTTAAGATAAAAAGGATGAACTATAAGTAGTTATCAAAATTAACCCATAAAAATCTAGAGCAATACTCCTTTTAAAAAAATTCCATATTCCTGCTTTGCCCAGAATCTGATAACTGAAGAGTGCAGTCTGTATTTAAGCAATCTACAGGGAAATAACATATTTTTAAAGGTATGTGATTCTTATGCAACAGAAACCCATGGGAAATATTTAAAATACCTTATTAATCAAGTGCTCTAAATTTGAGTTACTTCTTTTTCCAAAAAATTATTTCATCTGAAACTTTTTAACATATAAAATGAGATTATATCATATCACCATAGGTTGGCTATATTAGTTGTTTCTTTAGTCTGTGATATTTTTGGTCCAAGAGATAAAAACACTTTCTGCAGTAAGGGTGATAGCTCTATGATTTCCATTAAGAGATTATTGGAAGAGCAGTAGGTTGGGGACCCAACCTACCCAGCTTGGCTCTAGCACCCTAGTCCTCTACAATGACTGGCATTTGAGAAGGTTAAGCCAACCCTATACCATTTAGTATCAGTGGCTTACTCAGTCCAGGGAGTAGAGTCATTAGGACTCACCTTATCTACAATTCTCTGAGAGTTTGCTTTAAGATGGGATTTGATTCAACCAATCTTTTTCCAAAAGAGGAGTCAAGAATTATATACACTACCCTTTGACAAAAAGAGCAAGCTAAGATAAAAGGCTGCACTTGTCCTCCCCTTAATCCCTGTGCTATATCTTAAGTGTCTTCTCCTACAATCTGTTAATGTGGTGGGTTGTAAAAATAGGTTGTCTAATGTTAAACTATTCTTGTTATTCCTACGATAAAAAGCAATTGGTTAATGTGTTTTTTTTTTAATCAGTTTTTTTTTTTTTTGGTTAACTTATTTGGACATCTTTCATCAATGTCCAACTGAGAGTGACATAATTTTTCCTTTCTGGTTTAGGTATGGAGGTTGTATTACCCTTATAAAAGAGCTGGGAAATGTTACCTGGTTTTCCTTCCTCTGAAATAGTTATAGTTGAGATAATCTCTTTCCTGATATTTGGTAAAATCTTTCAGTAAGACAAGTAGTATTCTTTTTTTTTTTTTTAAAGATTTATTCATTTATCCATACATACAAGAACCGGGGTACAGGCCAGAAGTGCGGGAGGGTGAGAGGATTCACCAGAGACAGAGCAGAGAACAGAACAGGCAGATTGACGAAATACACTGCTGAGGGGAGCAGCGGGTGCGACAGGAGAGGTCTGCCGCGCCATGTGGGACCCTTGCTGGCTGGCCGGTATCGAACTGGCGCTGCAGAGGCTGCGGACACTTCACAGCACTGCGCTCAACTGCCTGCACCATCAGGGGAGGCCCAGAATGTAGTATTCTTTTTGTGGTATGTTTTAATTTTTAAAAGCTATATGATTATTCATCATTTTCTATTTCTTTTTTAGCTTACTTTTGGTAAGTGATGTTTTTGTTAGGATTTAACTTTTCAAATTTACTGAACAGGACTGATCACTATATGTAGCTATAGCTCCTATTTCTTTCCTCCCATTTTTAATTTGCA